GGACAAGCACTAGACACTCAGCTGTTTAATCATTGTCCTCTCAGTCAAGAAACCAACTAGGATAGTAAATCCGAAGTCGCCAAACCTTCTCAACTTCTGTGGGTGCCAGTGAAGTCACATGCACAGGAATCCTTGAATCCCATTACTTCATTTTCCCTGATCAGGCTTCCTACTCCCCCACCTGCCACCCGTCCCCCAACCATTCCAGGGAGCTCCCACAGTTGGAAGTTCTTGCCTGTGCTTACAAGTAAGTTGTCTCCATGCAGTACAAAAACAGATTCCCCTACGGGGTCACTCGTCTCTAATGCCCTCTTGCCATAAAGCCAGTGTTCGTGATAAAGTGGATGAAGTGAGTGAGGAGAATGACTTTTTCCTTATTTGTATAGCTCTCAGCAAGGAAGATCCCAAACTTGCTTGGGCTACAACAGAGATTTTAGTTTTTATTTCCAAGAGTCCACTCATGCACATAGCTAAGATAAATTTGTTAAAGATTCAAGTGTAAAGAATTTATTTTTGAAGATCATTCCAGAAAGCGCCAGTAGAAAAAACAGGTTGCTACCTTGGGCAGCCAGGGTCCAATCTCAGCAGACATTCTTTAAGAGACTCTATGAATCACATCCCAGAATTGCCCCAGAGAGGTAAGGAAACTGGGGTATTTACCCCACTAGCTCTTATCCATCCCTCACTTGTGGTGGGTAGTTCCTGTCCCACACAAGGGAAAGTCCTGAGTACAGAGTTCAGGTATTTACCATCAAACACTATCAGCATGTATGGGAATGGTAAGATCGCAGGGAATATAGGGGGCCACCCCTTAAAGATCCCCCAACTAGTCTGAAATTCTACAAAGAGCAGAGACTAGGCCTATATAATTCACTATTCTACTCCCAACAACTTGCCCTGGACTTAGCACATAGTAGGTGCCCAATAACTGTGTAGAGGATAAATGAATGAACATTAATTAAACTTGAGACAAACACAGAAGAAACCATTTCATCTTCAAAGATAGACAAAGAAGGAAGGAAGAGTAAAAATTTATTAGTAGATTCCACAGAATACATGCTTCCACAAACCTGATTGCCCCTAAATTTAGCACATTCCTAGTTCCAAAGGAAAGGCTTTAAGAAATTAAGAAATGGGCTCGGCGCCTATAGCTCAACTGGCTAAGGCGCCAGCCACATACACCTAAGGTGGCGGGTTCGAATCCCCAGCCCAGACCCGCC